GTTCAAACCCACCAGCCACTCCTCAGAAGGAAGATGGGGCAATCTACTTCTGTAGTGATACTGCCTCGGAAACCCAAGGAGGGATCGCTATGAGTCAGGTTCAACTCCACGGCACATAACAACACCAACAACAAGGCCACATATCATGAGATTCCGATTCACAGAGTCAGGCCCAGGACTCTGCCTATTTAACAAACATGCCTAACAATTCTGACACCAGTAGTGCTGGAGGAAGCCTGCCATGAATGGGGTGTTGAGCACCTGGCTTTCTTCTTCTGAGCACCAGGATGTGGATGCAATTGCCAAACTAAATCATCTTGTGATGTCCCATTTCTCACCACCCCCAAACACAGAAAACCAAAGCTTTTGTTTTAATATTTATATGCCCCTTATCTTTTCCTAAATATAAACTCAAGAATTTTATAATAAACTTTGCCTTTCCTATCAAGCACTAAAATTTGTAGTAAACTTTTCAGAGAAGATAAATTCCTCCTCTTTTGTGGATCACAGTAGCACAGAAACACATAGGGGGCTCCGTTTTATAAAATCCCAAATACCAATACATTCATGAAGGTTAGTGGTCCTCACAAATTGGCACCAAAGTATTTCATGAAGGATCATGTCCGTTGCTGAGATGGCTCTAGGATCCAGAACAGAGCACTATAAACCCAAAAGGACAGTGTGCAACGCAAACCAATCTGAACTAAAGATAAAAGGAGAGCTAGAATTTTAATGTAAGCCATTGAGGTAAATAGGATTCAACTTGCAGAGCATTTTTCAGGAATGTTCCTTTTACATAAATGAGAGTGGACAACATTTAACCCTTATGATGCCTTGTCAAAGTAGAAAAGGTTACCACTTCAAGCAGACACAACCCTGTGAGCTCACTGCTGAAAGACCAGTACAGTTGAATTTCAATTCTCTCTCCCCACCCCCCAGCCTAGCTTCCTTATGTACAGCCACATGAAAACACATCTCCACAGTCATGCAACGTGCCCACTTTTATATATTTCAGCTATTTAAAGGAAAGTAGAGATAGGTCTCTGAAATAGTAGAAAGAAAAATTTATTAGGACCAGATACCATTGCTTCAAATGGTGTAAATGAAAAGCCCTGACCTTAAATCCCAGGGAGAGCTTTGTTTCTGTGTGTTTGTTCTGAAACATTTTCTTTCACTTTGAGACTAGGGGAGTTTCCATGCATGCTCAGGTGTGATGGAGAAGTTACAATATGCCAGCCTTCTCAGCTGGCTGCAAAGAGTAAAGGAGCAGTCCCAGGTGATTAATCAAGCAATGGCGGAGCTGGCAACCATCCCCTATCTACAGGACATCAGTCAACAGGAGGTGGAAATGGTAAATACTTGCTTTTCATTGTTTAAGCTTTCACAGGCCCTAAATCAAGAGAAAAGTGATATGCTCTAGGAAAGGGAAAAAAAAAAATCTTGATAATAAACGTGTTCTAAGGGCAAACTCCCTAACCCTCCTGAAGCATTCTAATGAAGAAACAGGAAAATGTATGTTTTTAGTTTTTATTTGTTTGCATTATCTAGCTTCCATTTTTTTATAGCAAGAACTTTGCAACCTGATAAAATGCAAAAAGGGGTTGATTACTGATATTGTATGTCAGGCTTTCTATTTTTAAGTGAAGTGAAATTTTAATAAATTGTTTCCTAACTCCCATATACGTTAGTATAAAAGTTTCTTTCCTGTGGAAAATGAGAGAACAGAAGAGTAATTGGTGAATAGAAAGCTGATCCTACCAGAGTCTTTAGAATTTCTTGAGTACCATATATGTTGGCAGGAGCTCTGGTAGCATAGTGCCTAAGGCACTTGACTGCTAACCAGAAGTCTGGTGGTTTAAACCCAGCAACCACTCCTCAGAAGGAAGGTTGGGCAATCTGCTTCCATAATGATACTGCCTCAGAAACCCAAGGAGGGTTTGCTATAAGTCAGGTCCAACTCAACGGCACATAACAACAACAACAATATATGTTGGCACTGCCAACACACACATGTGCACATAGTTAAAGCAATAAAACAAGTGGTTATTTGAAGAGAAAATTTAGTCAAAATTTATATCTTTTGTAAAAAAACAAAATAATAATTGATAACCAGTTGACTCAGAAAACCAGACACTTTATTTAGCCTTAGACAAATCTAGTCAAAAATTAGTTGAGGGAATCTCTCACAGAAACAATCTTCAAACAGATGTACAATATAACCATAATTAATATTATAAATGCTAGCACCTAGTTTGAAAAACAATTACTAAACAGTGAATTGGCCATTTGAGGAGAGGTAAAATTTACCTCATATGGAGATGCTGTGAATTAGGTAAGGGCTCTTTACATAGCGGCTTTAATTGAGGTTAGCTAGAACTAATTACAGACCTGAATTGAATTCAAATTGCAAGGATGAGAACAGTCCAAACTGATCACCTGTAATTTGCAGATAACTAAAGGAGGACTCCCTCTATGAGACTTTAAAAAAATGTAACAAATTAATCAATCAAGAAATGAACTGCCAACATTATAATGATCATCTAAACCTGTCAAAGTATATTAAATAAATACTGTTATCAATGTGAGCATATAAAAGAATTTGACTAGCCAAATAATAAAACCATGCATGCTAAAGATTAAAAACTCTATTAAGGAATTGCTAAGTTAAAACTGGAAATAAGACTTTCTCAACTTTATGGTTGTATACCATAGAATGCCTTCTAAGAAGCTAAGTATTCGTGCTACCATTCATAAGGTATTCACGACTGCAGTAAATATAGATAGGGCTTTCAAAATGTATATTATAGCCAGTTTTAGATGATTAATTCTTCTCAGAGATAAGAGGAAGCAAAGAAAATGTTCATTTCAGAAGCCAACAAAGATATTGAGCCTGTCTTCCTGAAAAGCACATTCAGGATTTAAATGAAGAATATAGGGGAGCATTCTGCAAATAGGACTTCCTAACCATACATTCCTATCTATGACTTTTTTTTTCCTGTAAATATTTCTATTTCAATATCTGCACAAAGAGGACCAAACGAACCTTACAGGCAACACATACTAACATGAGCAATAAGTTGCTGTTGTTAGGTGCCGTCAAGTCGGCTCCGACTCATAGTGACCCTATTTACAACAGAATGAAGTACTGCCAAGTCCTGCACTAAACTCACAACCCTTGCTGTATTTAGCCCATTGTTGCAGCCTCTGTGTCAATCCATCTCACTGAGGGCCTTCCCCTTTTTCACTGACCCTCTACCAAGCATTGTAGCCTTCTCCAGGCAATAGTCCCTACTGACAACATGACCAAAGTAGGTGAGATGAAGTCTGGCCACTCTCACTTCCAAGGAGCATTCTGGAGGCACTTCCTCCAGGACAGATGTATTCATTCTTTTGCCAGTCCATGGTACTTTCAGTATTCTTTGCAAGCATCACAACTCAAAATCATGAACTCTTCTTTGGTCTTCCAGCTATCACATGCATTTGAGGCAACTGAAAATACCATGGCTTGGGTCAGATGCACCTTAGTCTTCCAAGAGACATCTTTGCTCTTCAGCACTACCCACTATCTAAAACTTTGAAAATAAGATCTCACAGATTATTTTCATACTTTACTTATCTATACCAACCAGAAGAAAAATTTAAAATGTATATGGATATACATGTTGTTGTTGTTTGCCATCGAGTCGGACCTGACTCATAGCGACCCTTCCTTGGGTTTCCGAGGCAGTGTACATGTAGAGGTCAAATATTTCAAAATCATGTATCTTGAATGATTTTGTCACATTAAGTAATAGATTTGACTTTCAAACCACTGAGTATGGATTAACTTGGGGGAAAAAAAATTGTAGTAATACCTTGTCAGGTGATATATAAACAGTGACAGCTCAATAGAAGATTTTTAAGTGACTCAGTTACCTGCATAAGCTCTGCAATATCTGCAGCACAGAAAAATTATCTAAAGGTTCATACCATTCAGTGTCACAGTGAACTGAACTGTTACTTGGCAGAACTCTCTCTGTGGCTGTGAATATCACACTGTTTGGGGACAGCTTCATTACTTTGCAGCCACATACACATCATGCGTATAGCATTGTTTTGAATTAGAATATGACTTGTTGGGGGTAAAGGATAGATTTTTTTAATTAACTTTTTTTAATTTAAAGAAATTTTGAAATAGATTGGGATCTATAAAAAACTTTTGTTGTTTTGAAATCTTAGATTATAAAGGAATAGTAAAAGAACTTAAATGAGCTAGATCCTTTGAGAGGCAATAAAACAGCACAATTTTAATATTGTCCTCTGGTGAGCTTTAGCATGATGCCTAGAATTATGATACATTAGCCTCAGGAGAAAATACTAAAACACATTTGTGCACTACATGCCATTTCCTGAGAGAATTGACTACCACCTTCATTCTTTACAACCGAAATCTGTTTTTACAAAGCATCAACACTTACTACATCAAAACCTATATGTTTTCTACAAATTTTCAAGAGGAATCATTTCATTGTTTCAATATTTTATAACTGCAATAATACTTGGTAATGACTGAAGCAAAGATCTGGTGGCAGCATTCATTGTAGGAAAGATGAGTAATAAAATCATCAGCGTACAAATGATTTTTTAATTAGGTTTTAATCTGTGTGTTTAGAGAAGTTATTTCTGTGTGAATTCTACACTGATAATTTTTATCTTGGTGCCACAGCTGCAGTCACTAATGGCAGATGCTATGGACACCCTTGAAGGAAGAAGAAACGATAAAGAACGTGTGTGGAATGCAGTCCAAAAGGTAAAACTTTGAGCTGAAGGAAAAAGATACTTTATTCTCAAAGGAACTGTTCATCTTGGGCCAATCTGTTTAGAAGGTGAAAAGAAAGTTCTTCCAGTTGTTTTTTGTTTTGTTTTGTTTGCTCATTTATTATTATTATTATTATTTTAATAAATGCAACACTTTACCTGGAAGTGTAACCAAATCAAATGAGTTTATTTAACCTGTTCCTTCAGGTTCACTTCTTTTCCAATAGACTGTGGTCATGTGCTTTCCTGGTTCTTCTTAATTATCATGATCTTACTTATATTTCATTTTTGTTATGTGCTTCTTCAATATTGGGTATTATGGTTGGGGCACATAACAACAACAACATCAGTGTTTTAATCCTCATCCCAACCCTTCCCCATTTTTTCTCATTTGAGGAATAATAGCTACAATTCAGGGAACTACAGAGAAATGAGAAATTCAATATTTTTGATAGATGAGTAGCATACTGGTTGTTAGAAGTAGAGGAACATCCCTACATTGATTGATGGGATTTCAATGCAAAGAGCCCAGATATGCACCTGGGCCCATGTACTCAGAAGACCTGAGTGACACTATGGAGCCCTATGGACAATATAAGAGTGCATAATGTTGAGTCTCAAGCCCAGCTCAGAGTAGTAAATTCTTATCATCCACCCTCCAGTCAGTCTCCTACAGTCCCCTTAAGTGTCAGGAGATATGAGAGGAACAAACCAAAGGAGGCTTCAGTTTATGAGACGGCAGTCAGTCAGGAGGGATTTTGGTGCATCTGAAGAAAAGTGTATCTTCAGTAATCAGTTCAGAGGTCCTATGATAAATTTATTAAAAAGAAATCAGCTGAACTCATCAAATATTTGTGGAATGTCTAGTGTACTGGAAAGTATATGAGTATGAGGAAAATTGTTCTCAGCAAGACTGGCACTGTCCCTACATCTATGGGACTTGCCAACTAGGAAGGAAGACAATTATTAAACAGCTACTTACTAGTTTGCTGAGTATGACAGTAAAAAAGCAGATACTCCATGATCTATGGAAACAAATAGCAAGGAAATATAGCTTAGTCCCAGGCATCAGAAAAGCTCTCTCTGAAAAAGTGATATTTACACAACGTTTAAAGGATATCTAGGCATTGTCAGTGAAAGGGGAGCAGATTTCTAGAGGGAATAGCACTAAGAACGCAAAGAAAGCATATGTCACATTCAAAAACTGACAAGAGAGCAGGGGAACAAACTGCAAAATGGAGACCAGAGGCAGGCCGAGTCCAGTGACAGAGGAACATATAAATGATATTCAGGATTTGGAATTTTTAAGAAAGGATTTAACTAGAAGATATTCTTGAGAAATCTCTAAGGCTGTGGTAGGAATAACAGACTGAGAGGCTACAGAAATGTGGGGAGACCAGTTTTAAGACAGCAATCAACATCCACATGAGACATGGTGATTGCCTGAGCTGGGGTGGTGGGTGTAGACATAGAGAGAAGCAGATAGACACAAAAATTATTTAGGAATCTCAGAGGATGTCTAGGTCAGTTAGCATGAAATAGTTCACAAAAACAATGTTCTACATCCTACGGTAATGAGTAGCAACTGGGATCTTAAAAGCTACAGAGCAGCCACCTAAGATGCAACTATTGGTCTCTCCCTGTCTGGAGTAAAGAAGAGTGAAGAAAATCAAAGACTTAAGGAAACAATTAGTCCAAAGGACTGATGGACCATGTGAACCACAGCCTCCACTACCCAGAGACCAGAAGAACTAGATGGTGCCTGAATACCACTACTGACCACTCTGATCGGGACCACAGGAGGTCCTGGGCAGAAAGGGGAAAAAAATGTAAAACAAAATTCAAAATCATAAAATAGATCAACTTATCAGTCTGATAGAGACTGGTGGAACACCAAAAACTGTGGCCCTTAGATACCTATAAGCCTAGATCTGAACCCTCCCTCAGGGATCACCTTTCAGCCAAAAACAGATAATTCTCTACTTGAACAATAACACTTGTGAGGAATGTGCTCCACAGGGCAATTAATCATATCAGACCAAAAGGGCAGCAGCATTTGCCTCAAAACAAAGCTCAGAAGGAGCAGGAAAGAAGGATATGGGGAACTCAGAGAGGAAGTGGGAAGAGTGTTGTTATATTGAGGAAATTGCAACTAATGTTATGAAACAAAATGTGTATACATTTTTTAATGGAAAACTAATTTGCTCTGTAAACTTTCACTCAAATCACTATATGTGTATGTGTGTGTGTGTCTATGTGTGTATGCATTGTTGTTGCTTTTCTTGTTGTTGTTATGTGCCATCGAGTCAGACCCAACTCATAGTGACCCCTCCTTGGGTTTCCGAGGCAGTATCACTACAGAAGAGGATTGCCCCTTCTTCCTTCCAAGGAGTGGCTGGTGGGTTTGAACTGCCAGCCTTCTGGTTAACAGTCAAGTGCCTTAAGCAGTTAGGTGCCATCAAGTCAGCTCTGACTCATCGAAAAAGAACAAAGCACTGCTCGGTACTGGGCCAGCCTCACAATCCTTTCTGTCCTAAGCCCATCATTGTAGTCACTATGTCAATCCATCTCGTTGAGGCCCTTTCCTTTTTTCACTGACCCTTCACTTTACCATGCATGATAGCCTTCTCCAGGGAATGGTGCCTTATGACAACATGAGAAAAGTAGGTGAGATGAATTCTTGGCCATTGTCACTTCCAAGGAGCATTCCTTCTGCATTTTTCCAGAACAGATTTGTTAGTTCTTCTCATAGTCCATGGTACTTTCACTATTCTTTGCCAACACCACAACTCAAAAGCATCAATTCTTATTCGGCCTTCCTTATTCCAGCTCTCACATGCATATGAGGCTATTGAAAATGCATGGCTTGAGTTAGGTGATGTTAGTCTTCAAAGAGGAATCTTTGCTCTTTAGCATTTGAAAGAGGTCTTTTGCAGCAGATTTGCCCAGTGCAACACATGGTCTGATTTCTTGATTCCTGCTCCATTGGTGCTGATCGTGGAACCAAATAATATGAAATCTTTGCCAACTTCAATCTTTTTCTCCATTTATCGTGATGCTGTGTATTGGTCCAGTTGTGACGATTTTCATTTTCTTTATATTGAGGTGTAATCCATACTGCAGAGTCTGTATCTTTAATCTTCATCAGTAAGTGTTTCAAGTCATCTTCACATTCATCAAGCAAGGTTGTACCATCTGCATATCACAGGTTGTTAATGAGTCTTCCTCTAATCCTGATGCCAAATTCTTCTTCATATAGTAGAACTTTTCAGATTATTTGCTCACAATACGGATTGAATAAGTATGGTGAAAAAATACAACCCTGATGCACTCCCTTCCTGATTTTAAACCAGGCAGTATCCCCTTGTTCTGTTCGAATGACAGGTTACTCATGACCACAGTTAAGAGTTCTGGAATTCCCATTCTTCTCAATGTTATCATAATTTATTATGTTCCACACAATATAATGCTTTTGCTTAGTCAATAAAACACAAGTAAACATCTTCCTAGTATTCTTTGCTTTTAGCCAGGATCTATCTGGCATCAGCAATGAAATCGCTGTTCTATGTCCTCTTCTGAATCCAGCTTGCATTTCTGGAAGGTCCCTGTCAATGTACTGCTGCAACTGTGTTTGAATTATCTTCAGTAAGATTTACCTTGTGTGTGATAATAATTATAGTGTTCAATAATATCCACCCTCTGTGGGATCACTTTTCTTTGGAATGGGTACGAATATGGATCTCTTACAGCCAGGTAACTGTCTTCCAAATTTCTTGACATACATGAGTAAGTTCCTCCAGTGCAGCATCGTTTGTTGAAACATCTCAGTGGGTATTCTGTCAATTCCTGGGGCCTTGTTTCTCACCAATTCCTTCAGTGCAACTTTGACTTCTTTCTTCAACCCCATCAGTTCTTAATTATATGCCACCTCCTGAAATGGATGAACATCGACCAATTCTTTTTGGTACCGTGACTTTGTGTATTCCTTCCATCTTCTTTTGATGTTTCCTACATCAATCAATATTTTGCCCAAAGAAACTTTCAGTATTGCAACTGAAGGCTTCAATTTTTTCTTCAGTTCTTTCAGCTTGAGAAATGATGAGCATGTTCTTCCCTTTCAGTTTCCTAACCCCAGGTCATTGCTTATTTCATTATAATAATTGACTTCGTCTTTTTGAGTTGCTCTGAAATCTTCTGTTCAGTTCTTTTATCTTGTCATTTGTTCATTTGCTTTAGCTACTCTCCATACAAAAGCAAGTTTCTGAGTCTCTTCTGACATCCATTGGCCTCTTTTTTTTCCTTTCCTGTCTTTTTAACAACCTTTTTATTTCTTCATATATGGTGTTCTTGATGTCATTCCACAATTCCTCTGTTTTTCAGTCATTGGTATTCAATATGTAAAATCTGTTCTTCAGATGGTGTTTAAATTCAGGTGGGACATAATCAAGGTCATATTTTGGCTTTCGTGGACATATTTTAATTGTCTGCAGCTTCTATTTGAACTTGCATATGAGCAATTGATGGTCTGTTCCACAGTCGGCTCCTGGCTTTGTTTTAGCTGAAAATATTGAGCTTCTCCATCACCTCTTTCCACAGATGTAGCCAATCTGATTCCTTTGTAATCCATCTGGCAAAGTCCATGTGTATAGCTGCCATTTATGTTGTTGAAAAAAGGTATTCACAATATGTCGTCGTTGTTGTTGTTGTTGTTAAGTGCCATCGAGTCGTTTCCGCCTCATAGCGACCCCATGCACAGCAGAACAAAACACTGCCTGATCCCGCACCAGCCCCACAATCCCTGCTATACTTCAGCCCATCATCGCAGCCACCGTATCAATCCATCTCCTTGAAGGCCTCCCCCTCTTTCGTCAACCCTCCACCCTACCAAGCATGACATCCTTCTCCAGGGAATGGTCCCTTCTGACAACATGACCAAAATAGGTGAGATGAAGT